CCGTAACCGTAAAAAATTGACGAATCATAGTCGATTATTCTTCTATAATTAGATTGTGATTGGTCAATTTTTTACGGTTACGGTTATATTTTAAGTTAACAGATTACAGCCTCCATAAACCAACTCTGCATAAACTAACCAACATGCACATACACTTATTTTAGACTTCTCTCTATCTATAGTTTGAAGATCGAAGGTTTCGTATGCACATTAGATGGCAGCACTAAAGTGGTGAAAAATAAAAAATTTTTTGGTCGTGAAATAATATTGATATTCGGTACAATAATTAGCAGTATTTAATAAATACGTTCACAAAATGTAAGTCAAATATTTGCTTTATATATCTTTTATAACTTTATTCAAATTTTAATTCATTTTTATCCCTTTTATTAAGATTTGTATCGAACATAACCCCAATTATTGTGTAATAAATTTAGTTTATTTATTTATTTGCATTATTAATTATCTACGCATTAATAAAAATCCGAGAAAATATTCAGCATTATATATTGCATGATATGTTATTATTTTTTTTTCTAGGTCTTCTCTAACTAAGCCAAAGTCTGAGATGACACCAGAAGAATTAGCAAAGAGAGAAGAAGAAGAATTTAATACTGGACCTCTTTCAGTTCTAACACAATCTGTGAAGAACAATACTCAAGTATTAATAAATTGCAGAAATAATAAGAAACTATTGGGACGAGTAAAAGCTTTTGACAGACATTGTAATATGGTTTTGGAAAATGTAAAGGAGATGTGGACGGAACTACCACGTACAGGGAAAGGCAAGAAAAAAGTATGTATGATGGTTATTTCTACAAATCTGATTATTTTATTATTGAACAGGAATTTGAGTTGTATACATAAAGTTATATTAATTTAATATTAAAAATGATTAGTTTTATATTGAGCAAGTTTTGAATTTGAAATAAATATAATTAAAGTAATATCTTAAGATTTAACATTTGATATATTTAAAATATTCTGTTTATTGAAAATAAAAGATGTGATAAAGGTATTAATTGATAAGTATAAATATTAGTCGTCTTTATACTATTAATAGAAATATTTATAAATAGGCAAAACCAGTAAACAAAGACAGATTTATCCCAAAAATGTTTCTACGTGGAGATTCCGTCATTTTGGTTTTAAGAAATCCATTAGCAACCGCAGCAGGAAAGTAATTAAATTAACTTTAATATTGATTTTAATTTTTAAGTTATAATAAAGAAAATAAAACTTTTTGATACAAACGCAACCAGCGTTTATTAACATAATAAATCTTTTGCACAAATTTTTGATCGTATGTATAATTTTTTAAATATTAAGTAAAAAAGAATGTTAAGCAGGACATTGTTTATTTTTTATGAATTGTGTACAACATTATCAATCCTTCTCGGCGATAGCAGTTAAATGTTTATCAATCTCTTGCTCGGTCAATATACTGTAACAGAAAAGTTGTTAATAAAGAGAAATGACTGTAAAAATAAAATTTTGATGTGTGCAAAACATTGAGCAAAAAGATTGTCATTACCGAAATTTGGGATTATCCTTTGATACTACTCCCACTTCAATTTCAGTTGGTTTAAAATCTACAGACAAAACTGTAGATAGACAGGTAATGGCTAGTTGTATAGTCTCATCGTAATCATAATTTTGTTTTTTCTTCAATTTTTTCTCGAGATAAGAATTAGCTTCTGTTTGTTTTGCTCCCACGGAAATAGCTCTATAACCACAAAAGTATCCAGCTGGATCAGCTTTATAAATACATGGGCCTTTCTCTTTATCATATGCGATAAGCATCATGGAACATCCAAGAGGTCGCATTTCTGCATTTTGTGTATATACTTGACTAATGTCAGCAACACGCTGGCACAAAGCATCTACAGGTATCTCATAGCCATATTTATATTTAAAATGAGCTGCTTCATATCGTGCACGTTGTACTTGAGACTTGCTGTCAGCTGTAAAATACAAATTGAAAAGTTATGTGAAACTCAACATAGACAGAGTCCAAACTTACCTATCATACCCGTCATAACACAACCAATATACTCAGTTAGTTGGAATACATGGGTGACACTAGAAGCATCAAGTAACTTGTCCTATAAATCAAAATAATTTTACTTTGATAAAGTAAATCAGAATATTATTTTGATAAAGAAAAAATATGTAAAACATATATTCTAAACATTGGCATTCGTTCCCAACGAAATTAATAAATTTTAAATAAGTAAAACATATGACGTGAATTCGAAAGAGTCAAGGAATGTCTAGATAGAGTTTAAGTATAGATTTTTCAGAGGTTATCTTACAGGCACTTTTTTCTGTGTTGCAAAAACGGCAGTCTCAACTCCTTTAACGGCTACGGAAGTCAGGCCACCTTGATTGATGGCTTTGAAGGCGTATTCTGTGTAAGATATAATAAAGAAAAGACATTTTAATAAACTTCAAAATGCAGATCGCGCCGAGTCATCAATGTATACAATGTATGAATAAGAGATCTGTGAGATGTATGAATAAGAGATCTGTGTGAACGACAATGCCAATAATGTAATAATTATTTGTGTTGATATTGATATATTTTTCTGATTCTTACCTACTTGGTAAAGCCGACCTTCTGGTGAAAAGATCGTGATATGCCTGTCAAAACCAGCACTGCTACCACGCGCCATGTTTGCTAATACACGACTCAACGATCACGCTCTCCTACCAATTTGCTATGAAAACGTCAAATCATGGCTGCGTTCCGAGATACGCTGCCAATAGTGAAAAATCTAACGATGTATATATCTAGATCGAGGGAGAGCCCGTTTGACCATGTTGCAATTGATCACCAGCTACTCATAACGTTCGAACAGAGGAAAATCTCTAGGCACCGGCCGCTGTGAGTGGCTGTGATCAATTGCAACGTGGTCAAAAAACGGGATGCTCCCTTCTGGAGAACATGTAATTTTTTTCCTTATAAGGTGGACCTATCAAAACGTGTAATAATTAATTGACCAATTGCTAAGTGGGTGCCATCTCTCCTCAGCAAGAGAGAAATGTATGCGATTGGCTTGCCTGGTCATTTCTTCTTTCGTATTCGTCAAATAATATACGAGCGGCATTTATATTTCTCATTGGTCAATACGTTTACCACCACAGATAAATTCAAGTTCAAATGAAACACAATTGCTAACCGCCGCTGCTAAGATTCTATACAAAGAGCAAGGCATCGCGTACGTTTCCGGCTATTTCTTCGTTTTGTGTTTGTAGCTTGCGTTCGATTTGAAATATTACGGTAGTTTCATTTTTCTTCTATGCGAAAACGCTTTGATTTGAAAAAAACATAGTGAATAAACGTTATCAATGTCACGCGAACATTAGGTAATTGTATGGTAAATGATAACACGTAGAGAATTGTTAAACTTGCTGCAATTAAAAGACTGAGTGTGTATTGTGCGACGAGGTTTGTTTTGTTTGTTTAACGTTGTTATTAATTATTATTTTATATATTTTCTTGTTCAAATTCAACATTGTAAATAATTTACAATCTGATAAATTGATATAAATTTTTTATTTTTTGCATGAAGTATATTAAGATTTTGAGTGCGTATTATCAATGTGAGTATACAATATAAGCTGCAAATATTTAGTGTTGTTTTAGAAAGCTTTTTTTTATGATACATGCATGGTTTAGTGGTTTTTCTTTTTATTTCAAGTATACATATATTAAACTTTGTTTTCCAAATCTATATATTACTTAAATTGTATTTTTCTATTTAACAGATGGAATCTCGTTTACCAAAACCAAAAATAATGATAAAAAAAGCGATTAGTACAACAGATATAACTACTAAGAATAATAATCATAAAATAACCAAAGGTAACAATAATATATCAACATTAACTACAGCGAGTTCTACTAATCAAAAACCTACAACTATGAATGAAAATAAACCACCAGCTAAACAAACTTTAACTCGAGCAAAAACATTGGCCTCAATCACACGACCAAATAATGTGAAAGCTGTAAAACGAACAGCTACTAATATAATACATGGAGAAGTAAAGAAATCTCTTGTCAAACCTGTTGCTAAAGCATTAATAAATAAACCAAGTAATAATGTATTGACAACTAATAGTACAGTGAACAAGGTAAACAAAGATGTTCTAAATAATGTAGATAATAAAGAAGGCAAGTTTAAAAAATGGGATTTACGAGGTCGTTTAGCACATACAAGTGATAAATTGACAATGGCACAACAGAAAAATAAAGACATGGAATCAAAGTATAATACACTTCAAGAAATGATAAATGCTTTAAAAACTAGCGAAACTGAGTGTAGAATAAAAGCAGAGAAACTTGAAGATTCAAATAACACTTTAACTAATCAACTTGAGACTTTAACTGTAGAAATGTCTGCAATTAAAAAAAATCAGGAGGATTTAATAAAACGATTGAAGGAATCAGAAGAATCGTGCACAAATGTTTCTCGCATATTAAATGAATGTCAAAAAAAGTGTAAGATGCAAGAAGAATTGATTTTAGAACAATCTGAACAATTAACGATATTGAAAACAGACTTAAAATTACAAAAGGAGATAAATGAGGATTTAAGTACTGTTAAAGAAGAATTACAAGTCTTGACTCATAGAATGGATAAGGAACGAAGATTATTGCATAATACAATACAAGAATTAAAAGGTAATATCAGAGTATTCTGTAGAGTTCGTCCAAGAACTCCAAAGGAAATCGAACAAGTGAAAGCGTAAGTGATACAAATATAATTTATAAGAAATTGAAATATTAAACTAAAATAAATAATTTAATAAATTTTATATGAGAACACTATTTTGATATTTTATTCGATTTATGAGTTTAAATAAAATTGTCTGTTTTAGGCCATGTAATATAAATTTCATAGACGACTGCACCATCGAAGTAGGTAAATTAGATGGATCAGATTCAATGAGCTGCAGTGGAAAGCTACGAGGGACAAAACAAGAATTTTCATTTGACAAAGTATTCGCACCCAATGCATCACAAGAAGATGTGTTTGAAGAATTATCTCTTTTAGTACAATCGGCACTTGAAGGATATAACGTTTGCATATTTGCTTATGGCCAGACTGGTTCTGGCAAGACGTATACTATGGAAGGAGAATATGGATTACAGACTGAAGGCATGATACCTAGAACGGTAAGTTAATATTTATAATCTTGCACATTACTAAATTGGTAATATGTCCCAATTTATAGAAATTTAATTGCAATTATTTTAAATAAATTTTTTTTTAGATAAATATTTTGGTACTTAAATTATATATATATATATATATTTAAATTCGTAGCTGAATTTTTTCACAAAAAATCAAAATTGTATGTAATTTCAGGTACGTCATATATTTAAAGAAATGAAACAGTTTGAACTTCTTGGTTGGAAGTATCGAATAGAAGCAAGTTTCCTGGAAATTTATAATGAACATATTGTAGATCTTCTTGATTCTCAATTAAAGACGCATGAGATACGAATGGTTGACAATAAAGGTCAGGATTTATATGTTAGTAATCTATTGATAGAAGAAATTCACAGCCCAGAAGAGTTGCACGAATGTCTTCGAACTGCGCAACGCAATCGAGCTGTTGCGGCTACTCAGTCAAATGAACGGTACATTTATTTTACATTTATATTACACTAGTTTAAATTGTAATAAAAATTTATAAGAAATAAAAATTCTTCATCTTTTTAATTGAATTACAATTATTGAAAATATTAGAATATTATGTGACTAAGTTCGTATTAGGATAATTTTAACATTAAAATGTATAATAATTTCTAGATCATCCAGATCACATTCAGTGACAAGAATACGATTAATTGGTACACATATTGTGAAACAAGAAGTATCAATAGGAAATTTGAATTTAGTTGACTTAGCTGGATCTGAACGTTTGAAGAGCGAAGAAGCCATCAGGACAGCAGAAACAAAAAATATCAATAAATCTCTGGCAAATCTTGGCAACGTTATTTTAGCGCTTTTGAAAAAACAGGAACATATTCCTTATAGAAATTCTAAATTGACTCACTTACTTATGCCTTCTTTAGGAGGTAATTCGAAAACTTTGATGTTATTAAATATATCTCCATTAGACGAATGCTATAACGAGACATTAAATTCATTGAGATTTGCTAGTAATGTTAATAATTGCAAGACTGGAAATATTAAACGAAGCCGAATGATTTTGCATAACACGACTAACTGAATAGAGATATGTTTCGATTAAATAGTATTACGTTATACTTTTTATTTTATGTTTTATTTTTACACGATGTTTTATTTTTACATGATTAACATTTCTCTTATTGATGTATCAAATACAATTAATATAAGATAATTTAATAAAAATGAAAATATATTTTCGCGATTGGTGACAAAATCACAATAGAATTGTCATCTTTTAATTTAATAATACGATATGAATTGTGAATACACCACTGATATAAGTAATATTGATCTTTGAAGAAAAAGTTTATGTGAAAGCGTCATATATAAGCGTCATACACCAAAAATATACAATCTAACTTTGTATAAGATTCATTATTTTATAAGGAAGTAAAATATATCTTATACTGAGCTAAATTATAATGTAAGGACACATAAATAGCTATGCAAAGAATTATTCTCTAATTATTTTCTAACATTTGACAAATATTTAAAAAATGTTAACATATATATTTAACTATCATCATTAATTATCAAAATTTATTTAAATTTAAGCCTAGATATTTTTGCTGCTAGCCCAAAGAATAAAATTTTAATATTTCTTTTATACCACGTAATATTATAATTAAAATGTGATTGCCAATTTTTATCTAAAAATTGCTTATAAAATATTGACATCTCATCTGCACTTAATGATGCTTTTCCTTGTGCTTTTAACATCTCTTGAAATCGTGAACGTTCCTAAAATTTATTAAGTTTTACATACTCTTTGTATTTCTGCATCATAGAAAAGAATTATGTATCATACCTCAACAAAATTGGTATTATGTTTGGACCAAAACATTTGATTCCATTGTTGTGTTTCTTCTCTAAGCTCCCTATATTTCTTTTCTAAATATGTTTCCTTTGTGGGACTGGCAAATATAATGGGTCTTAAATTTGATATTGGATCGGGAGGGCCAATCATATCATGAGTTTGATTATTGTTTTCTAGTTTAGTTGTTTTCTAACAGAAATACAATCAAATAAATATATAGAACATGATACAAATTTTATTGATTTAAATCAAATTTACTCTTTTGTATTTGTATGAATAGAACCAAGATACATCAAGATGATAAATCGAAATATATATATGAGATGATTAATATCATACTTATTCTTATTGAACATGCTTGATTGATATATACGTGAAATACGTGAACAAAATTTTATTAAAAATTTAGATATTTATTGAAATATTTACCATACTAAATAATCGATATAGTTTTGTGAAACATTTTAATGATGTATGATAATTATAACATTTTGGTACGACATTCAACATTTTTTTTAAATTTTATATTACTTTACAAATAAATCGAATATAAAAATTATTGAAAAATATCTTTTCTTATAGATGATACCATACGGCCAACACTGTAACGCTGTAATAATACTGAACATACATAACCTGCATTAATACTGAACACGCGCGCTGCCATATAACATCGTTATGCTACATTCAGAAATATCTGAACGTGTATATTTTATAGATGGAACAGCTTTAAAATTATATAATATTAGTCCACCAGTTTCATAATTAGCAGAATGATAATTTCAAAAATGTTTGCTGATGTATTGCTGTCCGTGCGTGCTTATTATCAGATTTTCAAAAACAGGACGAAGAGTATTATATTTAATAATGCTTAATATATATCTTTGATAATGTTGTGTGACACATACATGCACGCACGCACGCACGCACGCGCGCACACACACACACACACACACACACACACACACACACACACACACACACACACACATATGTATCTTTGGGAAACTTAAAAATAGTCATTAAGTTATAAAAATATATAAATACTTATATAATATAGTATAATAAGGTTACTATTGTTATATATAATAATTAACCACATTTATTCATAACTTTACAATTACATTTTTCAGTAAATACAGTTTAATAAAAGGATGATTGTATATGTCTAGGCTTGATTCATTGAATTGATATTGATATTGATATATGTAATAGATATAAGATAAATTTCATTTATTTGGATTTCATTAAAAAAATTTAAAGGGATATTTCAATAATCTAACGATTTTAAAAGAAATATACATATATATAAATTTACTTTAATTCATTTCTCTTGTATCATATCTAGTAGTATATTTTCAAATTATAGATTTCTATTGTAAAAGAACTTCTATTATAAAAGCTATTTAATAAAATTAAGTCATTTAACTTGATTTATCATAAGAAATTGACCTGTATCTTCCTGTACATTCAGACTAGAGTTTTTATCAGGTAGAAACATTCCTTTAACCATTTTTAAGAGACTCATATACATTATTATTATATTTAAATACGACTGTCCTATTTCTCTTATTTATTTAATGTAAAAATCATATTTTTCATGTGAATATTAGATAATCATACTAAATTATAACATGAGAATATAAATCTATGTAAATGTCTATCATTGAATTGTCACATAAGTCATTAACTATTATTTTTGAAAAGAATATTACGAGAATTTAAACAATTACATTACGTGTAAGTCCTCTAAAGCTTCTATCACGCCATCTATTTTAATAAATTCGAAAAATATATAACATATTGTTCACTTAATTCAAAGGTTTTAAATAAGCTGCATCAAATGTATCAAGCTCATTTATCAAAAAGTTGGCCTCGTTTCGAAGATGTTTTGCTTTAGCTGCTGCTTTCTCCAATACTGCCAAAGTATTCGCTATAGTTTTAAGTTCAGTATCCATTTCAGATGTTGTTTCATCTATCAAATGACAGAGCCGCGCAAATGTGCTAGAAAGCTCTCTAGATAATCAAACAATATTATTATA